CTCTCTCTCTCTCTCTCTCTCTCTCTCTCTCTCTCTCTCTCTCTCTCTCTCTCCCCGCGCCTTCACTCAATATTTCGCCCACGCGTACCTGCCCGCTGCCGTCAATCGCTCCGTCCGTCGCTCCTCCTGGAAGCTTCCCGTCGTGTCCGTCCTTTCTCTAATCATCCTCCCCTCCTCATGTCGCTCCTCCTGGAAGCTTCCCGTCGTGTCCGTCCTTTCTCTAATCATCCTCCCCTCCTCATGCCACACTTCCTCCCGCCACGGCCGTGTTCGCACTGCTACCGGGAACGTTCCCGAATCAACATCAGCGCATTGACAAGCATCGAAGTCCCTTTGTTTCTTTTTTCCGTATAGCTTCCCGACTGTTCTGCTGGGCCTCGCCCCCCCTCTTTTTTTTAAGCCGTAGTCCCTCGTGTCCCCTCGGTACTGCCCCCCACCACCATTTTCCTTGGGCCCGCGGGGAGCGTGATGCGAGGCCCGCGTTTGCCTTTCGTAGGATTAGGGAAGAAAGTAAAAAGCGACGAAGCCGTGATACGGAGGATGAGAGGTGGAGGAGGAGAGACGGAGAGATGGAGGAAAGAAGGACGAGGAGGGATGGATGAGGTGGACGAGGAGAGATGGACGAGGAGGACGACGACGACAACAGCAGCAAGATACAATAACAATTCGAACTTCGACGTTTCCATTAAAAAAAAATTAAAAAATGACGCGGCCATGACAAGGAGGATGTACGATTGGGGAGGAGAGACGGAGAGATGGAGGAGGACAGCTGGACAAGGAGGGATTGAGGAGGAGGACAAGGAGATATGGAGGAGGAAGGGTGGGCGAAGAGATATGGAGGAGGAAAGCTGGACAAGGAAAAATTGAGGAGGAGGACAAGGAGATATGGAGGAGGAAGGGTGGACGAGGAGATATGGAGGAGGAAGGGTGGACGAGGAAGGGTAGAGGAGGTGATGCCGACACTAATCGAAGTTTACATAAGGAAAGGTGACGAGACCTTGACGAGGAGGGATGGAGGACACGGAGGAGGACAGGAGAAGGCGGCTGTGGAGGAGAGATGCACGTGGAGGAGGAAGTGACGAGGAGGAGGAGAGATGGAGGGGGGGATGAGAAGGAGGCGGAGGTGACGAGGAGATAGTCCAAGATACTATCGAAGCTCCGAGTACAAGATTCGGGGAGGAGGAGGAGAGGGAGGAGATGAGTTCGAGAGAGGGCAGGAGGGCTGGTGGAAGAGTCACCTTGATCGAGGAAGGATGGTGGAATTTGGTGCTGGCAGTCGCTCCGGAGCTCGACGATGGTGGCTGAGGCAAGGGGAGGTTGGCGCTGCTCGCAACGAAGACGAAGGCGACAGACGACGCTGGGACTGCAATGCGGCAGTTCCGTACCTATGGGATACCTCTTCTGTATGTTCCAAGGACGACATAGAAACGAGTCCCAGGCCCAAAAAAAAATTCAAATTCGTTTCGGCCGCGATTGAGCGCGGCCCGCTGAAGTATGTTTTGGGCCCTACCGTAGTTCGATTTTCGCAGGAGGGGAAGGTGGGAACAACGACGGACCAACACCCACGCCTTGTTTTTTTTTGTTTTGTTTTTTTTTTTCGTTTTTTTTTTGGCTGCGGCCTGGGCTCCCATGCGCCGCACGGTCGGGCCTTGCTTGCGCGTCAACAGTCCGCGAATCAGCGTATGACGTGAACCTGCATGTATGTTCTTGACTTATAAGGTTTCTGTTGTGAGTACTTCAGCTGTTCAATGCCAGTCTGCATGTATGCCGCGAAACGAACTGAATGTGTAACACGCTTACAAAAACTCTGGGATACCTCTTCCATATGTTGTTCATGCTGTTCAATGCCAGTCTGTTCCTTGTGGCATGCTGCCTCTGTAGGTAGCTGATTTGGGGCTGAAGAACCTCTCCCTATGTTCCATCAATAGACTCGGAGGTTACTGGTAATCCGTTGGGAGGCAGTTCTGTGAGAACAAAATACCTCTTCCATGTGTTCAATCTCTTATCCTGGTCAATGTGAGTCTTTTGTTCCCTCAGGCATGTGGTGCATCCTCATTTCGAGCTGCCTCTGGGCGTAATGTGGCTACTCCTCACTTTTACCCTTGTTACGTTGCACCTGCTGGAAAATGGGTCCAGCATCCCTGTACAACAGACTCATTCATGCAACAGGCATGAGAGTATTCCGCCAGCCTTAATTGCCCCAGGTTACCCAGGGGGATTCACTGAGTGGTAGGAAGAGCTATGGCGACAAAAGTGCCTCTTCACCCCTCGAACAGGGCGCCTCTTCCAGTGTTGCATTCTGAGCCACACGGAGCCCAGTTAGGGCCCGGTTCCAGGTAGGCAGGGTAGGCCTAAGTGGACGACGGTTCAGATGAGGCCCAGGTAGGCCAGGGGTACGGCGGTTCAGGCAGGCCAGGGGTAGAGGCCCAGGCCAACGGCCACAAGGCCTGTACCAGTCCAGCATAGGACCTACCGGCGGTGCAGTTTCAGAGGCGGCCACGTTTAGGCGCCAAGTCCAGTTTTGAATCTGGACCGTTGATCGTTGATCAGATCAACGGTCCAGGCCGGTAGGTACCAGCAGGTAGGAGGCCGGCCCAGCACTACAAAAGGCTGGGTACCAGCCTCAGTATGGAGGTTAGTGATAGGACGTTAGTCTTCAGGATTAGCGCAACACTGCAGCGTTAGCAGGATTAGCGCAGCGCGAGCAGCGTTAGCCTGAGCAGCGAGGAGAATGTGAGCGCAGCGAGGAGAATGTGAGCGCAGCGCCGAGAAGGAACCAGCACAGCAGCCCTGCCGCGCCATAGCTACCGGATCAGGTACCGGGGAGGAAGGCCTTGCCTTCTCTCCCTATGTTCCTCCGCCCCTTCTCTACCTCTCTCACTCTCTCTCCCTCTCTCTCTCATCCTACCTTCTCAGTCTAAGTCTACTCCTGGGTTATCCTACGGGGCTACTATCAGTGTGAAGGATGGTTACGAGTTTTGATGACATTGGAGACAGCGACGTTGGGACTACAGGTTGAGGACTACTAGTGGGATCTGATTTCATCTTCCTCTGGAGATGTACTTGACATTGTGAGATCGATATCTGAGACATTGTGAGACACTGTGTTCGCGACATTTCGGATTTTCGCTACCTCTGACATTTGAGTTGGCGACATTTTCCCTCTCCTCCTCCCTTCATCTCTCTCCTCTCTCCCTTCGTCCTTGGATGATCTCAAACCCTAGCCTTTCGTCTATGTCCAAGGCCAGGGCTTTCACACCCCTGATGTATGATTGAGAGTGTTCATTTGCAGTCCGAGTCAGGTCAGAGTCAATCCATGTCTCTCAAGTCTTCCGCTGTATTTGTATTTACTCTGTATTATCTGGTAGGTTCTGGGAATCTGCGCCATACTTATGACTGTGTTTCACGAGTATGCAACAGTTTGGTATCGGAGCAGACCAACATTGGATGATTCACCATTGATTGATTAATTGATTGATTATCTACACCTGTACTCTGTTATCATTAAATCACAAGTTGCAAATTTTTTCCTTTCTCGTACTTACATAGTAATTAGGTCGTTTGAATTATAATTTTAGGTTTTGCGATTTTTCTCCATATTACGCAAATTAGGGAATCGCTAATTACGATTAACCTAATTAGCGCTAATTAGGGTTAGTCCTAACCTAACCTAATGACCTATTAAGTCTATGGGAAGTAAGTGTCAGCCAGGCACCACGCCAATTAGGGCAGATCGAGCCTGAGCACGGCCACATTCAACTGCAACTTCACGAAACTTTCACTTTTTGCAAACGCATCTTCATTGCGATAAAAGTTTGAATTTTTTCAAGCAAATTGTGTATCTTCCTGCAACCATTCATCTTCTACTTACTTCATGACCTCGTGATGATGCTAAACTCTCCCGATTAAATTTTGTGAAATAATTAAAACTGTGTTTAAATGTTTTGCTTAAACTTTATTTATTTACTTATTTATTTGATTATTTATTTATTTATTTATTTATTATTTATTTTTTTATTACAAACTTCCCATTCCATTCGCAATATCAATCAATGTTTGAGGTCGGGGACCTCACAATTCCACCTGGAAGTTATCCCGACAGCATCAACCGGTTTAGCTTCTTTCTCTTATCTCTTAACCTTAACTCTTCTGTGAACACGAACAACTATAACTATACAGCAATGCCTAGCCTAATACCTAGTTACCTTACACCCTCCCCACTTCTATCCTCCTAAGGAGACCTAACTCGGTTTGACCCTAGGCTATGACGCCCAAGGTGGAGCATTACTCCTTATTCTAAACGCCACTCTCTCCTACCGATCCTCCCACCGTGGCCTACTGTGGCCACCAACTGAACCGAGTGGACCTGGTAAAAAACAAACGCAGCATGCCCATAAAACCTCACAAACAGAAAAACGAACACCCAACTCCTACCATCCTCTAACACCCTCTATCCCCCCCCCCTACTCACCCACACCACCCTACCCAACTACTCTCCTCCAGGTCTATCTGTCCAACCAGGGGGAAGTGAACAGTTTTCCTTCTTTTATCTCAGCCAGGGCCCCCGGTCTAGCCCAAGTTTCATAAAACCATCTCAACTCTGTCTGTCTGTTCCCCTGGAGTACTCTCCTTCTCCAGTCCGCCCTGATCTCCGTCTTCAGCAGAGCTTTAAACAGCTTCTCTGCCTGCGACTCCCCCATTTCCTGACTCTTGAAACGTCGACCATTCCTGTCTAGCCAGATGACCCACATCATGACTACTCAGCTGACCTGTCCCATGTATCCCCACCCCTTTCCTACTTCTTCCCCTTGGCCAATGAAACCTTGCAGCACCCAGGCCATACCCTGTTCCACTTTTTTCCCCGACATCTTCTCCCAGTGTCGAAACCACCAGTTCCACCACTTCATTGATCGTGGACAGTCCCACCACATGTGCGTCATGGTCTCAACTGCCCAGGCGCACCTGACACACTCCAATCTCACCTGTATTCCTCTGTTGCTGAGCCATTTGGGCGTTGGGACTGCTAGGTGAGATTGCAGGCATAGCAGCGAAGCTAATTTCTGAGATGGAATTTCCATTAGTTGCTTCCATAGTCGAATAAGCTGATCCTTCGTTGGCACCGGCAAGAAGGGTTGTTCTTTCTCCCATCTGGGGGCCACTCTGTCCCTTGGGTTCCCTTTCCTGCTCCTCCTTTTCATTACCAGTGTTGAGATGAGGTTGCTCAAATCCTTAACTTCCTCCTGACCCACCTTCCATCCCCACATCTTTGGGTTCAATCTGAGCTTCTGTATCGGGGTGCCACCTGCTACCACTGTAAGCACTAGTGGTCTCCTTCTGTCCCCTGATGCTTTAGATCTCACTCGTACCTCTTGCAGGCCATCCAATCCCCACCGTTTTGTTACTTGTGTTGAACTCAGGGTGTTTGTTGCCATATTACCTACCACAAACTCTTCCACTTGGCACTTCCCTGTGCCCCCTTCATCCCAGCCTTTCAGTTGGTAGTATTTCCCTTCTTCCTCTCCTGTCAAGTTACGAAACCACGTCCCAGGTGGGCTTATCCCCTCCGGCCCCAGCAGATCCCTCCAGCTCTGAGGAATCGCTTGGATCAGTAAGCCCAGTCGCTCCTCCTGTGTTGGCAGCCTGCCCAATTTATTCCTCAGTTGTTCCACGGTGTGCCACTGATTGAGGAGGTCATTCCAGAGGTCTCCCACTGTGGACACTGTTCTCTGAATCCATTTCTGGCCAAAGCATCCTGCACTTGCTGCTGCAGAAAAGGGGATTCCATTGTTGTCTCGGATATGACTGTTTTCGAATAGCGGTTGGGCCTTTACTTTTTCTTTCGTGCATGGCTGCTCCCGAGTGTTGGGCTTCACCTGTCTCCAGGCCGCAATCACTCCTTTCCAAAAACCTGATTTAATCCTCTTGTTCAAGAAGGAGTCCGTCATTATCGCTACCCACACATCTGAGTGTCGCCTCAGTCCTCACTCCTCCATTAGGATACACTCTGCTAGCCTGCACCAATCCGGTGAGTCTATTGCTTCCGCCACTTTCAGCAGCCAGCCAACTAACAAGGCAATGTTTTGTGCCCCTGGGTCGGTAATTGCCAATCCTCCCTCCTCCCTTGAGGCAGCCAAGGAATCCCATGCTACCTTCGCAATATACCCTTGCTTTTCATCTGAGCCAGGTTTCCAAAGGAAATGTCTTGCTGCTGCTCGAACCGTTTTGACCGTGGGCTCCGACTTTTTCACCAATCTCAGCACATACCAGAGCAGTGAAAAGGCAGACATGGTGACCACCAACGCTCTCCCTATTAATGAGAGATGGGGATCACTGCCCCAACTCTTG